CCTAAACATAGATACCAATTCAAAATATCTGTCTTATACTATTCAGAGAAATGGATATAATATAGTACAATCCTGTATCTATTAAGAAATGAGAAAATGTGACCTGATATTAAATGTACTGTCGTTCAAATTAATTGATACGTGTCATAAGACATGTGTTTTACGATATTAAGAAAAAATCGTGTAAGTATATAAACGACGATTTGAATGAAAGTCATGAAACGGAATTGTCTGAAGGCAAATGGTGAACAGAAGGAATCGTCGACTGTTTTGTCCGCATTGAAATTGATTGAAGCGACGGTGCGCGTGGCGCAACGAGCGCACTTCAGACGCAGAGCGCAGGTGTCATCCCTTTGTGCGATTTTTAAATATCCCCTCGCGGCCGAACCTTTCGAGGGCCCTCCTGATCGATTGCAAGCCTGCGTGGCATAACGTGTTCCTCCAACTAAAAAGCGAGAGCCGGGTTTTATTTGTCGGACGATTCATTATCGACGATTGGCTTTCAACTTTCCATTCGGGAAAAATTCACAGAGCTTTATCCGTGTTCGCGCGCTATTAAAAATTGTAAGGGGTCGAAACGAGGTTCCGCGGACTAATGTTTCGCAGTGCATTTGTTTAACTTTTAACAGGCATCTCTCGCAGGTTGTAATGCAGATTAAACATAATTATTTTAGATGCTCGTGCAACGATGCTTTAGTGATTACGCTTTAATATTATTATTATATAATATATGACTTGACAGAAGTAAAGTCGGAAATCTCGTCCGATTAAAGGATTTGAAAATTTCGCGAATATAAATTTGATAATAGAACGTTTTATCGGGGGATATAACTTTAATCCCGTCCCAGCAGTGCCGAGCAAAATATTTAAAAGGATTATCCATTATGAACGGTTAATGGTCTGCGTTGCCTTTTTTGTTCCCGTGGCACATAAAATGTTTCCACTTTTCAGTCGCCAGTAATTTATAATGAATCTCACGTAGCGTATTCGACGATATGCATCGCCACATTTATAGGGAATCTAAAAATGACCCAATGATAAACGTAACACTAGTGCAAAATAACTGTTTGTTGCCATAAATCCGGCTCGAAACAGAAAAAAGATTTACACATCTCATAAATTCGATTACACCATTGCAAATCATGTTTGTATCGCTACAATACATCATTTTGAACATAACAAGCATTTCTTAACGAGTTAAGAATGAGCAACATTTGCCGTAAATGTTGAACTTGCTACCGTACTATGCGGATGATTAATAAATGAGATAAAGAAGTCGACACTGACATTCAAGACACGGTTCTTCAACTTTTCACTCACCTGCCGGTGCCTTTCACCAGCGATGAACGCCTCTCTCTATCTTCAACCGTGAATTCTTTCACGCTCCATTGGCATTCGATGGCGTTTCACCTCCGAATGCTTGGCGAACTCGTGATATTTGCGCTCCGCGTTAACGCTCATATTCGCGTAAAACTATCTAGTCACGGTAAACTCACCAGGTAGCACTGAATCAGTAATGGAATTTCTACTCTTACATCTAAGCCTCTCGAAACGTTAACCGAATCCATTCAGTCGAAACAGAACAGCAAAGACGAACTAATTAATTAATTCTGCTCCTCGTCGTCAATTAAACCAACGTCCTAAACTATCAAGATGGATTTTATTAATTAAATGAAATAATCGATACGTTCCTTGTTTATGTTTCCAAACGAAATTTATACCTCGCCAGATGCATTTAATAATTCATCGTATCGAATCACCGGGCGTTGCATTAAACTAGTATTACAAACAGAAGAAGAATCAAATTAAATACGAGTTTTTATCGGGAATTTGTTTATATCGTAAATATTTTTGTGTCTGTTTGTAATCAATATGAACTGGGTGCAGGTGCGTACAGCCGCATACGTAATTTTACCCGCGATGCATCGAAATCAGCCAAGGATTAATCAAGACGCGTATACCGTCAAACACAGTCGCCTCTGTATTACACACGATCCAGGATCGATCCGTTCATACCGACGCACGCCTGTCTATCAAAATTTCGTAAGTCTCCAAAAGATAGATTCTATCAATGCACAGGATGCACACGCAGAGTCAGACGCAGTGAGAAATCTGTGCATGTCTGTGTAGACGGATGTATAATATATGAAAGTTGTGCAGAAATACATGCACAGAATTTACAATATCGACGTTCGAAATACGTGTACCACGGTTCTCGTTGAATTGGAGCAAACTTTACAAGCTACAGCGAAATCATTGATCCATTTTTCACCGCGACCCGTTTCTAAATTTTCCGGATAGAAGAGAAGGGCGGGCGGAGGGGGGCAAGTTTGATCGAATCCTCCGGCTCCTCAAACGAACCGAAACTTTCCTTTTTCAAACAAGATTTTATAAGCCAAACTCGATACGATGGAAATTGCGGCTAATCCCTTAAACATCCCCCCGACCTTGCGTAACCGACGAACCGTTAAAAGCAAAGTTTTCCGTTTATATCCGTTGACACAACCGAACCGCAGCTTCCTAGATAGTTTTCATCTCCAGCCTCGTGAAAATATTTTATTTAAAAAACATTTTTCCATTACATCGGATTTTCATTGTACCTCCTCGTAAAGCAATTAGCAATTCGATTTTATACGCACGAACATTTCTTTTGAAATCCATTTTTGTGTGAATTTTTCACTGCGGAACGGATGACGGTTCGATTTCGAGGAGTAATTGTATCGTTATAAAGGAGAAGAACTATCAATATGCGGGCGACATTGTTGGTGAACGTATTAATCAACTAATAATTCTCAGGGGCTGTGTATCGTCGTCTGGCAGGGAACAATACAACCCAATATGCATAGCTGGACGCGGCAGCCTATAGCCTAGTCAATATGTAAACGTGCACGCGTAGATATCTACGTGTGTGTGTATACGCGCACGGACGTTCAGAAATGCATACGCGACGCGTGTTCGCGCATACGACCGAATGTTCTCCTCTATCACCGGAATTTACGAGCGGATTCCCCATATGACGAGTTTACGTTGGATTTTCACCCAAATACGATGCGAAGCTATCATACTTTAATCCAGATTTAAAAATCATCAAACCTTATCTCTCGTCGTTTCGTTTTGCCAACTTGATAATCATTGATTTTACTGTCGATGTTCAAACTATCCTGGAAATGTAAGAGTTTCAGAAAAAGATTGTTATTTGATTGCGTCCCGAATAGATATTTCCAACTGGAATTTGTTCCAGTTTCATAGGTAAAGAACGTGCAATTAATTCGAACAAACTGACAAGAAGACGTCAAACGTTGCTATTTGAGAGGGCTTTGTCGAGATTCCTTTGAAAGCGGTCCAATAAAAGAGTACGAAAGCGTTTTATCGACCGTCTGGCGATGACAGCCCTGCGGGAGTTAATTGAGCCCGCGGATATACACGAGAACCGCGTCCGTGGCCAACGTTCAGCAAAAACCTCTTAATTAATCTGTCCCATTAACACCCGCCGGCTTTGAGCCGCCGCCTTCGTGGAACCACGAGCCATTTCGGATTTGTCACATGAAAATTTCACTAATCACACGAAACGACGAAATTACAATTATAAAGTTCTTGATCGAAGCAATAACATGTTGAATGAGAATATAAAAAAAAATGCAGATAGGAAGATCGTTTCGTACATTTCATTTTATGTACAGTACGATTTTGAATATTGAACATTCAGCTTTGTACGTCTTCGTTCGATGTAATTTTATTAAGTTTGATCTAAAACTATTTTTCAGGGACAGTGCAATGAAAATACGTAAAATTAATTTGTCACTCAAATGTTGAAAAAAAGGGAAGCTCGTTAAGGGTGAGACTCGTCTTTGCACGCTTTACAATTTATTGCGTCTTTCTTGCGCGTTAAAGCGTACTATGAACCGCATACCTAATGCCCGGTTCCCAAGCCCGGTCGAATCATAAATCGTCCGGTTCTCTTCGTTTCTCTTTCGCCCGCCACGGGTTTCTTACCGTGTCTCGAGAGATCGTGTGCACCTTCAAGACCACGACTTTCACGGACGCGATACGTACTACCCCTCTGAACGATAATTTCTGTTATTCTTGGCCTCTAAGCAAAGATACTTGCGCCACGTTTGTGCAAAATCGTAAGCAGCCGTTTCAAACTCGAATTTATACCGTAGATATTAAGGATGTATTGGCTATACAGTCAATCCCAATAGTTTATGTACCTTAGAAAAACGCATTTCCTATAATTAAAAAGAAATCAGACGTCGGAAGAACAATGCTAATAATAAATAGCTACGTGCTAAAAAGTATAGAAGGAAATATTCAACTAACTATTGACG